TTATAAATTTTTTTTTACTCAGTTCTTACTCACTTTTATTATTTTTAAAAATAATTTTTAAAATTTTCCTCTAATAAAAATTTAAATTATAACTCATAAATAATACTAAAAAAATAAAAATTTTAAGAAACTCCACTAAACGTGCCCTTAATTTTGTGAGAGGGATTGCTGCAACTATTACAAAGGCTTGAGCTGAATTCAAGATTTCTATGTCACCAATTTCTTAATTAAGCTTTTGGAGGTGAGTAGAGGTGGCAAAATGCAACTTGATCCATATAAATAGATTAAGGTCAGCGTATGTTGATTGGCAACTAGTTTATAACTCGTGGAGGTGGCAAAATGCAACTTGATCCGTATAAATAGATTAAGGTCAGCGTATGTTGATTTGCAACTAGTTTTATAACTCGTGAAGATGACGAATTAAAACAGGTTTGGATTAACCACACTTAGCCCTTGACCCAGTTTTGGTTTTTAACAAAACTAATATTTTAATATCATATAAAAATTATGCATGTAAGTCTTAACATAAAATTTATATCTAATTTAAAATTAATTGATAATAAACAAAATAACTCTCTGTATATTTAATCCACATTTTTTTATATACTTAATTAATGTAGAATTTTCCCACTCAATATAGGTAAATTATAGATTAACCCAATAAAATTAAATTTTATTAAGGTACAAGACTAATATAGAGAAATAGAATGCATCTTTGAAATTACTCAACAAAAAATTAATTTTGATATGTGTAAAAAATGATTTGTAGACATTTTAATTGTTTAAATATATATATATATATATATTATATATAAAGATCAACTTATGAACTTAACGTTGACTAGCACGTACGTCTTTTTTTTTTTTTGGTAAAGTTGACTAACATGTTTAATATCATAAAATTTTTCCAAAACTAAAAGATAATTGAAAATAGAAGGACCGACCTGTGACGCGTAAGATTTAGATAAAGGTTAACACTAAGGCAGTAACCTATTTGAGGTCCAACCTACATAGCCCATAATCAAGGTAACTTAATCCAAACTTAACCTACTGGTTTGCTACCCAAAGCAGTAAACCACGAGGAATGGCTCACCTTTGTTAGCTTCATTTATTTTTATGTTTCTTCTTTATGATAGGGCGAAGTACTCTTGTGAACTTTTATTTTTTTTTGGGGTACTTTTATTGCTTTGAATCCCATTTTTAAATTTGATTGGATTATAAAGAATTAGCGTTAAGATCATGGCTAAATTGAATTGAGAATATTCTGACAACTAGAAAAAAGTCCCTCTTCAAGTCCTATCACTCTAACATATCACAGGGTGAATAATTCCAAATTTTCTGATCAATTGAGGGATCAAACTAAAATTCTTGTTGTCCTATCGCATACTTCTTCTTCTTCTTCTTTTAGAAAGGTATTGGTCCTATCCCACACTACTTCCAAGTACCAACTTTTTTTTTAAAAATATTAATTATACAATGAGAGGTAACAATCTCTAATATTTTATTTCATTCACTCGCATACCATATGATTTAAACTTAAACTCAGAATCTCTTATTTCCAAAAAAAAGAGATTTCTACTGAATTATTTAAATTGTTGACTTCAAGTACCAACTTTTAATCAACAGGATAACGACACTAAAAAAAACCGACCTCGTTACACTTTTAGATATCACACTAATTAAAAACCAAGCAAACAATGACATTTTATAATGTCATGAGTTAAAAGTTTATAAATTAAATTTAAAATTTAAGTTTTGAAATTAATGTTTTAAAAAATTAATTTTATTAAATATATTAAATTGATGTAATTTAAAAAATTTTAAAGAAA